TAGTGCCCAGGAATCTACATCATAAGCAAGTTCTTCAAGTGGTTTTTATGCACAGTAAACCTTGAGGATCAGGCTTGTAGATAAGGTCTCAGAAGATAAGGTTAAAGATGTCATTCAGCACTGAGGAGATTTCTTCCCGGAAGTCCTCCATCCACACCCTTCCCCATCTCCACCTACTGTTGACCTTTTAACTTGAATGAATAAAGTTAAAGACCATTGATACTTAATGGATGAAGCAAAGAGAATTGAGGTTGGGACATTTTCATTTGTTCCTGGTTTTGTATTTTGTTGCAGTTTTGATAAAGTTCTACTCTGCAACCCACAGGGTCACCATGAGTCGGAATCAACTCGAGGGCAACTAGTTAAAGGACCCCTAGAATTTTGAAATGATATTTAAATCACAGAGCTGTGTAAGAATGTGTTTGCTTTCTCCTCTGTCTTATAACTACAAGGAGGTTTTTCCTAAAGTTAAAGACTCTTTAGAATAAGCTAAAGGCGTCAAACGGAAATCCTGGACATTAGTTCCTTCTAGGGTGGCTCTCCTGGGCTGGACTGGGCTGGGCAGAGCAGTCTTTTTCACTGTTGTAGGTAGCTTTCACTAAGAAGCCCTGGTGGCACAGTTGTCAAAGCCATTGACTGCTAGCCATAAAGGTCTGTGGTTCGAAACCACCAGTGGCTCCAGTGGCTCCGTGGGAGAAAGATGCAGCATTCGGCTTCCAGCTCCCTAGAGATTTACAGTCGTGTAGAGATTTACAGCCTTGGATACCCTATGGAGTCCTTATGAGTTGGGATTGATTCCATGGCAGTGGGTAGAATTCACTAGGGAGGAATTTCTTTCGTTGCCTCCTGGGGCCCCACGCTCGGCTTCACTTCTCTGTGCTAAAGTACAAGGAAGCACCTGGGGCACCGCAATATCTCATATTCGAAAGAGAAAGTCAAAAAACAGTGCAAACAATAGAAACTTAGATTTCTCGCTGTTGGACTGAAGACTGCTTTATGCTACCACACTGAGGAGGTAAACGTTCATGAAAACTGACAGCGCATGGATATTTTGGATAAGGCTGCTGGCTACAGAATATACAGATTGTTTTGATTAGGTTTCAAAAGCACTCGGGAATGCTCAGGTCTCAAGCTTCTATACAGGCTAAAAGTAGTCCATTTGCATATACAAATACGTGTGCCATACACTGATCCGGGAGAGGATTGTTAAGGAAAGGAACATTAGATAATTACAGGCACATTTTTATTCTGAAATATGCAGATTGCTGTTATTATATTAAAAGTCACAGTATATGCGTCTTGAAAAATAAGTGAAAGAGCATGTTTTTCCTCTGAAAAACATGGTTAGACTGGGCAGTTGGAGTCGGGTGGAAGAGAGGGGCGGAATACCGGGGAGCGAGCGGCGCCGTGGCGGAGAGCGAGCAGCGCCTGGACCCTGGCCCCAGCGCCCGCGGCTCCTTGGCGCCCTGGGGCAGGTGCCGCGGCTCCGGGACGCATCCGCCGCTCTCGCCCGCTCCCGCCAAGCTCCCGGGGGTGCGTCTTGTCTGCCGCCCGCCCTGCTGAGAGGTCCTCGCAGTCACCAGGAGCTGGTGCAGCCTCCTGGAGCTGGCCGTTCCGTGATTGCGCGAGCATTAATTGATCGCCTTCTTTGAGTGAACTCTAGGCTGACAGCCCTGGAGAATTCAGAGGCGAATAAGAAAGAGCTGGTCCCTGCAGAGGACATAGACCGGCAAATAACCAACATTATTGGGGGGCAGAATGTGGGTGCCTGGTCGAATGTGGGTCACTTTGCGTGACCAGCTGCCGTTTGCAGTCACCGTCCTGAGTCCAGAGCTGTCAGAGCAGCTAAGAAGCCCACGTCGCCTCTTGTCCACGTTAAATGGGGGGTAGGGTTGGGGCAACTCTGGCTTAAATTTAAAAAAGAAAAACGAAAGTTGTTGATGGGCATGCAGAATTTGACTTCACGGCTCAGCCGGAAGCATACCTGACCCTTCCTATACACACTGTGCTGCTCTTGTCTCCTCCGCCTTCACCCTCCCCCCAGGCCCGCAGCCAGAAGTCAGAGCACAACCAGACTCTTGTTGACTTCCTTGCAATCACCTGATGACTCTACCCGTCAAGACAGACTTCCCCACCCCGGCGTTCACACACATAGACACCCACAGTTGATACACGCTCAGAACCATCAGCTCAGTCCACACCACTGGTTTTCTATTCAGTCAGTAAAACCTTTTTTTTTTTTTTTGCATTGTTTTCTATGGGATCCACAAACGATTGACCAACCGGTTGCCTTCAAGTAGATTACTACCCATGGCGACCCCATATGTATCAGAGCAGATCTTTGCCCCATGTGGTTTTCAAAGGCTGGTTTTCCAGAAGTAGATTGCCAGGCCTTTGGGTGGATTCACATCTCCAAACTTTTGGTTAGCAGCCACCTGTGTTAACAGTTTGCAACACCCAGGAACTCCTACAAATGGTTAGACTCTCTTTATTGTAGAAGAGCCATTATAGTAAAAGGCCATTGTGGTACATTTTTTTAAATCAAGCAAAAATCAAAACCAAAGACCACTTTAATGTATATAAAAGGACAAAACTAATAAATTTAAAAGAAGCTTCAACAATTATAAATGTGTTCATTATATTTTAAACAAAAAAGAGAAATTGTTTAGAATGAGTCTTAAGAATTATAAGGAGAAATGCCCCATAGTACAAAAGTCTTATAATTGCTATATTTACATTAGATAGATCTTGGACTTGGGAATATATTTTTATGATGTTTGCAAATTATTTTTGTATTTGTCACTAAATCCTATGGGGCTCCTCTTCTCCCATATTTTTTTGGTTTTTGTTTCTTTTGCTTTGTTTTTCCATTTTTATTTTTTAAACATTTTAGATTTATGAAAAGAAATAACACACTGAGAGAAAGACAATAACAAGTTTGGCAAAGATGTGGAGAAAGCAAAACTCTCATACAGGCATTTTGGAAAACAGACAGTTCCTCAAAATGCTAAACATAAAATTACCATTAAAAAAAAAAGTTGCCATCTAGTCTATTCCTACTCACAGTGAACCTGTAGGACAGAGTAGCAGTGTCTGGCTAGTGGATTCAAACTGCCATCCTTTTGGTTAGCAGCTGAGCCCTTAACCACTGTGCCATCAAGGCTCTAGTAGGACTCAGCAATTCTGCTCCAAGGGAATTGAAAACATGCGTCCAGACAAAAACCCATACACAAAAGTTAAAAGGAGCATTATTCCTAATAGTAAAAAAATAGAAACAATCTAAACATCCGTCAACTGACGAATGGACAAACAAAATGTGGTATATGCATACAATGGAATACTATTCGTCAATAAAAAAGAATCCGGGGTGGCAAGAGGAAACGTGCTGTCACATTGTGGGGGTTGCAACTAATGTCACAAAACAATA